ATCTTAATGATTATCACCTTTTTTAGATTCCTCAGAATCGCTATCTAATCCATCACAATCATTGAGTTCTTCGTCTTTTATTAAAGACTTTTATGAAATTTATTTAGTTCCGTATTTTCCATTCGTTCGCTAATTCTATTATTTTCTCTTCGATTCATTATCTGGCGAGTATGATGATTCCTTAACTTATTCATTTTTTTAATAGGGTTCAGATTATTGACTCCTGTCTTAATTGTCATTTAGGAACTCATAAGATATTTCTCTTTGTTAAATAATGTTATTTTGACTTTCGATTAAATTATTTTGACTAGATTGTCTAGGGATTTACTCATTCTACCCATTCTATTATTATTGCTTTTACTTTTAATACCTTTCAATCTCTAACGTTTCAGAGCGTTCATTTAACTCCAATTCTTTACAAAGAAACCAAAGACGATCTTATTGTTCTTGAATTTAAATGTTAAGCTAATCTTTTCAGTTTATATTTTGATTCATTTAACCCAAATTCAATTAATGTTGCTAAGATAAATCTTAGCTCTAATTTATATTATTACTATTCTGAAAAATTAAATTACTCTATTATGATTAATTGCTTGATTATTTCTGATCAATTCCAATAGGTCTTAAATCTTATTAAATATTTATCTCATTAGCTTTCGTATTTTTAAAAACAATATCATCTCCTTTATTTTGGTCAAAAAGCCCGCGATAACTAGAACGTAATGATTATAAATCTGATGACTTTGGTTTTATGGGAGAATTCGGTAAATTTGCTTTTAGTTGCTCAAGGTAATATCTATTCTCAGCCAAATATTAATTTTAATTTATCGAAGGGAACTTGGTTTTTTTATCCACTCAAATTCAATCCCTCAATGAATCTCATATTTTCTGATTAAAAATCCTCTATTAGCTTGAAAATCAAATTTTTAGCATCTTCTTTTTTTTTCTTCATTGGCTTGTTTGAACTTTCTAGCTCTTTAGCTTTTTTCTCAAATTAATTAAATAGTTAACTTGTCCTTTTCTTTTATTATTGGATTAGAGCCTTTATTTTGAACAATCTCATTTTTTATATTTATCTTAATAATAATAAAAGTTTATTATAAATACTACTTAGTCAGAAATCATATATATTTTAGACTAGAGGGGTTTTGGGGTTTTGGGGTTTTGGGG